TTTTAGCAATTGATGCAATACATGGATGCTAAATGCAATAAACGCTACAATATATTTTTAGATTTAAAAAAAAAAAAAGAGAAAAAGAAATTGAGACGTGTGTAAATGTAATTAATATCATAGAAATTAGTTATTTTGATAAGTTTAATAGTGAAAAGATTCGCATAATTTTGACATCCAATGAACATATTACAACTTGCAATCAAAGATGATGATGGGGATGCACTTCTGGGAATATTCGAATCTCATCATTTTGTTACACAATATAAGAACCCCAAATTAGGATAATAAAATAGTGATAATAACAACATTAATTATTATATATAATAAAAAATTGTAAAAGTTTTGGCCCGATTTGAAAATATTCATTTTTCTTTTTGCAAAATGAATTTACGTCTGTTATATTTTTCAATCTAGTCTTCTTCAATTTATAACATGATTTAATTTATTTTTTAAAACCAAAAAAGCCATATATACTTATGCATGTCTAATAAAGACCATATTTATATTAATAATAATAATAATAATAAGAATAATAATAATAAAGACCATATTTAATATAGAACAAACTACGGCTAACCCCTGACGTAATTTCAAATTATGAAAATATCCTTATGTTTAGGTAAACTTAACACCGTAAGGATGGACGTGTAAGATAATACATAGTTGAGGGAGATGATTGTAATTACCCAATTTTTTTATTTTTTTTTTTCGTAATTTGCACTTTAATATAGTGATTCGGAGTGTCAAGTTGTCAACAATGTCACATTATTATTGCAAAAACTACCCCTGTGAAATCTCTAATTGGCAAATACCCCCCTGTGGAAAAAAATGTGACCAACTCCCCCCTGTGTTATGAATTACAAAGCTCACCGCACCCATTGTTTTTTTAAACATTGACCGCATGTGAAACTACCATTATACCCCTCAATGAAATAAACAGCAGTAAACCCATTTTCACTCTCTGTAAACCAATTTCACTCTCGCTCCCAAATTACACCTGCCTCTCAAAACCCATTTTCACTCTCTCGGTAAGCATTTGGTCGAACACCTAACGCCTTCATTTCTTCGTACAAATTCAAGCACCCGTCGAAATTCCCCAACGACCCGTAAATCCTAATCAACGTCGAAAAAGTTACCGCGTCGAGCCGCCATTTCTCGCTCCTCGCGCGATCGTACAAACTCAACGCAAGTTCCACATTGCCAACTCTACCCGTACGCATCCACCATCACCGAACAAGTCACCTTATCCGGCTCACACCCGAACGACGGCATCTTCTCGAACCACTCGACCTCCTTCTCGGGCAACGAGCACTGCCTAGCGCAGCTAATCAGCGTCGAGAAAGTTACGTTATCGGGCTTAACCCCCTTTTCGAGCATCTTAGTGAACAAATTTTCCGCCCCGATTAAATCTTTGCACTTTCGAAATACTTTCATGGTCACATTGTACAGCACAACTTCTCTCTTCACCTTCAGCCTCTTCCGAAAATAATCGAGCACCAGAGGGGCAGTTTCGGTATTCGACATTCCGTTCAGAACAATCACTGCGTCCTGTTCCAATACTCCATCTCCGAGAATATTCAACACGCTCGAAACATCCTCTTCGACGGGGGCGCGGGCGCAGGAATCTAAAGATTCGGCCAGCTTCAGCAACGAAGAGTGCCGTTGGGGGCGCGTGGGCTTTTGGGGTTGACCCAAGCGGTGGATTTCGAAATGGGTTTTTCTTCAATTGGGGCTCCGGAATTTTGGGAGACTGTGTTCGCGGCGGGTGGTTCTTGTAATGAAACTCTGGAGGAGACGCGGAGATTGGGGTTCGAGGGGTGGATTTTGAGAGGAAAGAAGAGATTTTTATGGGTTCTGGGTTGATGGAGATTTGGAGGAGAGAGAGAGTTGCAGAAGAGATGGGTTTCGTTGGAGAGAGAAGTTGACGCCGAAGCGCTCAGATTGTCCGCCATTGTTGAATGCTCCTCCTCTGCACACTGTGTGTGTGTTGCTAGACGAATACGACGACATTATCAGAATATCAACGGAAATCGAGATAAAATCACAGAGCAATTGAACGTTGAAATGGAGCGGCTGAAATTAGGGAATTGAAAGAAAAGAAAAGAGAAGGGAGAGATTATGGAAAATTGGGGATGGGGTGGGCATTTATGACATTTCACAAGTGAAAACAAAGAAATATTCGCACAAAGTGCGCGTGAGATACACGATTTAGCTTCAGGGGTCCAGATGCTTTGACTTTGATAACACAGGGGGGAGTTGGTCACATTTTTTTCCACAGGGGGGTATTTGCCAATTAGAGATTTCACAGGGGTAGTTTTTGCAATAACCTCTAATAATAATAATAATAATAAAGACCATATTTAATATAGAACAAACTACGGCTAACCCCTGACGTAATTTCAAATTATGAAAATATCCTTATGTTTAGGTAAACTTAACACCGTAAGGATGGACGTGTAAGATAATACATAGTTGAGGGAGATGATTGTAATTACCCAATTTTTTTATTTTTTTTTTCGTAATTTGCACTTTAATATAGTGATTCGGAGTGTCAAGTTGTCAACAATGTCACATTATTATTTCAAAGGAGAAATATTTATTTAAAAGAAAAAACATTCCTATTATAATATTATTAATGTGTGAGGTTACTGACACATATATATTTGGGTATATATATATATATATATATATATATATATATATATATATATATATATATATGTGATTGTTCGATAATCAATAAATAAATAAAACACACGCCAGAATAAAGCCAAGGAAATTGGATCCAAAATTTATTTTATTTAAATTATTTTTATGCCCCCACAAAAGCAGAAAATTATCTAAAAGTCCCAAAAAATGAAAGGCCTACAATCCAATTTTTAACGGTTCCAATTACAGATGCCAGCATCTCTCACTCTGCCATTCCTACGCTACCATCAGATTCCAATTCCATCACCTTTCCACCTCACTCGCTGCTCCGCCACCACCACCACCACCACCGCCGCCGCCTTTTCTCAGGTGTATTTATCTCTCTATCTCTCTCTCTCTCTCTCTCTCTCTCTCTACATACTCTATCCAACCCTGTTGCATATACATTATTATGTACGTATGTCGGAAAAGCGAACACGTTGATCGAATCTTCAGATCGCCGGAGTTTTTTTTTTCTGAATTCCTTCACAATTCGCAATAGAATGAGATTCTTCAGTGTGATTGCTTTATCAATCGGGAGCGGGCATGTGTAGGCGGATAGATATATATATATAATTTTTTTGTTATTTCTGAGTTTTGTTAGAAATGGAAACCTCGCCCTTGCGGATTTTTTTTTGTATCGTAGTGGTTTTTGTTTCTTAATTTGTAAATTGTGATGGGGCTTTCATTTGAGGGTTATTAATTTGCCTACTCAAATTAAGAAGACTCATATTTCTCAATTCCAGTGTTTCTTTATTATTATTTTTTTAATTTTATTTTTAGTTGACAAAAATCAAATTTTCTGGCTTTCTCCGCAGCCTGATTGCGTCGACAATCAAATTTGGATTTGTGATTCATAGGGTTGAAATATAGAGGGGATTTAATTTAGGATCTAAGTTTTTGCCAAAAAAATCGGTTATTGTGAGTATCAAGTGGCCATCCAATCTGCTATCCTGTCAGACCAAATTATCGGTAGTTCTGATGATTTTCCCTTGTAGATAAACTTGTTGGCAATTGAGAATGATTGCACTTTGCAGAAAACTTTAAGACGAAATGTTTTATTGTGAGTTTATAAATAGACTTGAATGAATTTTGATATAGCATCATAGGGACGTGGTACAGTCTTTTGTCACATTCATCTACAATAGCATCAACAGTAACGGATATAGGTATTATTGCCTCATTTTCGTTTAATTATTTACCGGTCTTGCTGTTGGATCTAGGAGTTTTGGAAGATGATGTTTGTTCTTTTAGGTCATTGTTGTCACAATTTTATCATGGAGCCTTTAGTCGTAAATTCTGTGGCCTTCGTTTAAACTGCTCGTATAGTTTCACTTTTTCTTTTCCTTAGTTGCATTCTACATGGAAATTATGCCTTTTCATTCCAGTTTTGTAAAATTTAGATTTGCACTTATGACCATGTGTCTAGACCAAACTCACATATCTTGTAGTGCTCACGCCTTTGTTTTACGAGTTGCTATAATCCTGTTGCTTAGTACTCAATCAGTGAGTAGTTAAGCACCGAGCTCTTTACATTTTAACTAACCACCTGCATGGTTTACTTATTTGTTTGCAGATTGAATCCACCCTTAGAAAAACAATGGATCGTCTGGCTGAGAATGCGCGCCTCATGATTGTGTCAGATCTTGATCACACAATGGTGAGTTCAGAGAGTTGTAATTGTCCTTTGTTACTCAGTTTAAGGAGTGTTTGTCCTTACGAGAGACAATAATGCTGCAGGTTGACCACCACGATGCCGAGAATCTCTCCATCCTTAGATTCAATGCCTTGTGGGAAGCAAATTACCGTGATAATTCTTTGTTAGTTTTCTCAACTGGGAGGTCTCCCACACTGTACAAGGAGTTAAGGAAAGAGAAGCCCATGCTAACCCCTGATATCACAATAATGTCTGTGGGAACCGAAATAACTTATGGTAACTCTATGGTACCCGATGATGGCTGGGTTGAAGTCTTGAATCAGAATTGGGACAGAAACATAGTATCCGAAGAGGCAAAGAAGTTTACTGAACTTACTCTTCAGGTATGGGAATAGAAATATCGTAATGCTTGGATATTACTCTAGTCAGACAATCCTCTCATATTCCGTGCACTAATCTTATCACATGTTGGATATGGTATTTTTTTATGCGTCGACATACAGACTGGATTTTTCATGTGGATATTTTTTCTATGACAATTTTTTGGCATTGTGCAGTCTGAGACGGAGCAACGACCGCACAAAATAAGCTTTTATGTCCAGAAAGACAAGGCCGAAGACATTATGAAATCTCTTTCGACGCGCTTGAAAGAGCGCGGGGTAATGAAATCTAGTACTTTTTGCTAGTGCACTCTTATATTCGGCCCTTTTTTCCACTCTCGTTAAACATGGCTTTGTTTTGTGATTTGTCAGTTGGCTGCGAAAATAATATACAGCGGAGGAATGGACTTAGATATTTTGCCACAAGGTGCTGGAAAAGGGCAAGCACTTGCTTATTTGCATAAAAAGTTCAAGGCCGAGGGTAAATTACCTAAAAACACACTTGTCTGCGGCGACTCGGGAAATGATGCCGAGTTATTTACTATTCCAGATGTGTATGGTGTCATGGTTAGTGTTTCACCTAATGTTTTGGATCAACAATGTGATTATCTTTGTTTTGGTGTTTCCCAGTTTCTTATGTCGAGTAATTCTGAGTATTTTTTTTAACAGGTTAGTAATGCCCAGGAAGAATTATTGCAGTGGCATGCTGCAAATGCAAAAGATAATCCTAAAATAATTCATGCAACAGAGAGATGTGCAGCGGGTATTATACAAGCCATCGGTCACTTTAACTTGGGTCCAAGTACATCTCCGAGAGATGTTATGGACTTGTCTGACACTAAGATGGAGAATTTCGATCCCGCGTATGAAGTTGTGAAATTTTACATGTTTTACGAGAGGTGGAGGCGTGGCGAAGTTCAAAATTCTGAGCTTTATTTGGCGAATCTGAAATCTGTTTGTGTATGTGCGACTTAACTTTTCAATGTTTACCTGCTAGTTAAAAAATTGCGTAATGATTCATGCCTTGACAATTCTGCTAGTTTCTGTATTTTTTGTCAAAATCTAAGTCAGAAAATCCAATGTGCAAGGTACGAGTTCTCGATTCCTGTCACATACGTATAATGGAGATCTTTTGCTATTCACGTAGCTCCGGTGCAATTTCATTATTAGGAGCTGGTTCTGCAATTTTTAGTCTTTCTTATTACCAGAAAAATATTAAATAATAATAACTGACCGTTTCACAATTTCGCTACTTATATGATCTTATACTTGCTTTTTTGTTATTTTTTTCCGACAACTGGACTCGTTTACATATGTATATTTTGCATGTGGATACATACGAACTTTATTAGAGTTCAAACTTAATTGCTGGAGTTCTGGTTGGAGAAATTGAAATAGTAATTACATCCATTTGCTGCTAGATTCTTCACAGGATTATGCTCCTATTAAGCTTTCATATGGTGCATGCTTATTTCTTATGGTCAACTTATAAGTTCTACTGTGTGGACTGTTACCGACTCAAAGCTACTTTTAAACTTCCTTTGTGGATAATCTTTTTTTCTTCAATATCTGATGACTGTGGGCCCCACTTTCGATGTTGCTATTTGCAGTGTTCGTCTGGAAGTTTCGTTCATCCTACTGGAATTGAACAACCACTTCACGACTGTGTAAACTCACTGAGAACATGTTACGGAGACAAGCAAGGGGAACAATTTCGCGTATGGGTCGATCAGGTTTTACCTGCACAGATTGGTTCAGACTCGTGGCTCGTCCAATTCAAGAAGTGGGAGCAATCTGGTAAACCCTTTCTATTCTCGTTTTTTTGTTTTGCAAGTAGTGCGTAAGATATTAATTACGAACCACGGCCATGTTTTTTTTTTCAGGTGAAGAAAAGCAATCTTGTGTAGCAACTGCTGTGTTAAGTTCAAAAGTAAGTCGGTCGGTAAATTTTCTTGATCGAAAAAGGTTTCTTCGGTTTCGTTTTTGTTTATAATAATAATAATAATTTCAATTTGGTTTCTTTCAGGATGTAACTGTTGCAGAAGGGCTGACTTGGGTTCATGTTCATCAGACATGGTTGAATGGAGGAGGGCAAAACGGTCAAACAACATGGTTGTTCTAGAATGCCCAACCCCCTTGCTCTGGAATCTCATCATTTGTTCTATTAAAATAAAAGCAAAATGCTATTACATAATGTTGTAGCTCTGAATGCTGTTTATTTCTCTTATTGTTGATTACTCATAAGTCATAATTTCTCATATTTAAGGGATACATCTAATATTTTTTCGATTATTATTATATGTACGACTACTAAGTCTATGAGATTCTACACTTGGTGAAATATAGCAGGTTTTTTTGCATCATAAATTTACGTAAATAAACACTCACTAAAAAATATAGATTAATGGTATAGATTTACCCAATATATCTCACCGATGTAGCATCGACAAAACCACGACTACTATATGGCTACGTTTTTTGCAAAAACTACCCCTGTGAAATCTCTAATTGCCGAAAACACCCCTGTGTTAAAAAAATTAGCAAGGACCCCCCTACGAAAGTTAGTCAAAGCCAAAAAGGCCCCTGACAGGTTATCGTGCGCTACACTCGCCGTATGTGCGTCTGGGGGTGCGTTTTTTGACCTGAAATGACCTAAATATCCTTCATAGTATAAGTCTTAAAAATTACAGACTTACCCTAGAATTTTAAGCACCAAATTAAAGTTTTCAAAATTTTCAATTCGGTCCTTCTTATTTTCAAAAAGGCCATCTTTCTAGACCCATTTTCTGATTTTTTTTCCTGTAAAAAACATCAATCGAATCCAGATTCTCAAGCTCAGTTTTGTTGCAAATCCAGAAAAATTAAAAGGTAAGAAGACAAGGGGAAGAGGACAGAGCTTAAGCCCCATTTTCCATGTAAAAAATTGGAAGATTTTTTTTTGATTTTGACCTTCAACTTCACCATTTTTGGTAACCCAAAACTTGAAATTCACCATTCTCGATAACCCAAAGTTCAATGGAGAAGGATGTGTTTCAAGTGGTGGTGGTGCGGCGGCGGATGTGGTGGCGCGGCAGATGTGGTATGAGAAGTTGGGTGGGTTGGGTTGAGGGGTTGGGTGATGGGAAGAAGATATAGTCCATTTTTTTTTTCCTTTTTTATTTTATTTTTTTATATTAATTTTTTATTTTCTTTTATTTTGTTTTATTAAAATTAAAATATTATTAAAAACTAACTAGGGATATTAGAGTCATTTCATGTAAGTCAACAACTAATTTTAAAATAAGGGGCTCTGTGTTTTTTAAAATAAAACATAGGGGGGTTTTTGTTAATTTTTTTAACACAGGGCCTTTTTCAACAATTAGAAATAACACAGGGGGGTCTTTGCTATTAGCTCCATTATTTATAGTAGAATTTGATTATCGTTTGTACTTATTTTTAAAAAATGGACAACTTGGAAAAATGGACTAAAATGACCTCATCACACATTTTAACTTCGTTTTGCAAATGCGTGCATCAGTTAAGAATCAACATACAAAGCTACTCGATATATTTTATTTTAACCAATTAGTATAGCATCTATGACATACTTTAGGATAAATTATAGCCAACCCTCTGAGTTAAGGTCAAATTACAAAAACCCCTCATGTTTGGGTAATTAAAATCACCCATCAATTATGAATCTTCTTTCACGTCCATCATTTGCGGTGTCAACTTTAGTGGAATCTTCTAGATTATGTAAAATATTCTCTAGTTTGTACGCATTTTACCTCATTCGAGCTCCACATTTTGATCATAAGATGTGTCTCTTAACTTGTAAATATCAGATTGTGGTGCATATTTTTGCACAAAACAAGTGCAAACTGGAGAATATTCCACGTAATCTAAAAGATTCCACTAAATTTGACGCCGCAAGGGTGGACGTGTAAGAAGATTCATAGTTGATGGGTCATTGCAATTACCCAAACATGAAGAGTTTTTTTGTAATTTGACTTTTACCGCTCAGGGGTGACCATATACCTTTAACTTTAATTAAAAAGTAACCCCATTAATCTCTTTTTCTTATTTTTTATCCCCTTAGAGCAACTCCAATGGAGAGACATCAAAATGGAGCATTAAACATTCATTTGATACTTGATATAATACTTTGATACTTCTAGAAAAAAAATTCACTCCAACCACAAGTATCAAATAGATTATCAAATTTGAAATATATGAATAATTATATTATTAAATGCCACGTGTCAAATAGTGATAGGTCAATGAAGTGGTTACATTTTTGATACCTCATTTTCCAGGGATTATTTTTGCACCTCGGGTTGGTTGAGTATCAAAATAATTCCCCATTTAATGCCTCCATTGGAGGAAGATTTTTTAATTTTAGAGCATCAAAATGGTAGTTTTTTAGTTTGATACCTCATTTAATCCATCCATTGGAGTTGCTCTTATATCCCAAAATTTCCACATTGGGCAATAAATGATGCCGCAGTTTGCTATTTATTGTCTATATCTAACATAATAACTGACAACAACCGCATAATAATAATACCTCAAATCTTGGATCTCTTTTACTCTCCCCCAAATTCAAATCACAAATCACAAATCACAAATCAATCAATCGATGGCTCTCAGGCTACTCTACAGTCTTCTCTTCCTCTCTTTCTCCACCGCCTGCTTCCTCTGCCTCCACCTCCTTCTCCAGCCGGTCTTCTACTTCTACTCCGCCGACGCCTCCTCCCTCCACGGCGGCGCTTAGGTCAGTGATTTAATTAGTTTTACAATTATTTTATATATTAGTAGCGTTCGGAGATTCTAACGGTGGTGGTTGAAAACGGAGGAGGATTTTGGATCCTCTGTTCTCCACCGCCGTGGATTTGTTCTTCCGGTGGTGGATTAGGGCATACGTTTTATTTTCAATTTTAAAATGTAATGCCAAGTTTATGACCGTTGGATTGTAATACTTTTGTACTTTAATTAATACTTTGACTAGATCAACAGCTTTTCATCTTCAACTCTTTTTTATCAACTTAATTGTTTTCGATCTCGTCCAATATTACAATATTATCGGTTCTCGTAGATGCTGCACCGTGTGAAATACATTGTATTAATTTAAATCATAGATCTGCATACAATCTTGCATAGTGAAATAATGTAGATCTCTATTTACATTTAGTTTTGCGTTTTTATTTTTTATTCTACCAACCATAGATCTTGTGTTCAAGTAATATAACACATGTAACTCTAAACTTCAAAACCATTGCACCAAATTCTTTTACTTTATTATTTGTGTAAATTCGCCTCTATTTCATTTTATCTTTTTACATTTTTTTTATATCGTTATTAATTGAAACTAACATAGATTTGTGCATATTTCACCAAAACGAGATATTTTTACGAGACAAATTTATTCATTTAAAACTCAACGTTGTTCCTAAAATATACGAACACGACTATTGGATTAGAGGTTTTGTGGATGCTATATCTGGTGAAATTTCTTGGTGATTTTATACCTGCTTAGTGGGTGATTATTTTTCATAGCCAATGTAGCATCTCATACAAAAGCTGAGTTTATATTATAAAAAAAAAAAAAACCATATAAAAAGAATAGAAGATTTTACACGGTACAATAAAAAATAAAAAAATGTTTTGTTATATTTTAGGAGAAGATGAAGTTGATCTATCACCGCCTTCTGTTTGGTAGTTCATTGTAATAAATAATCGCACGTCATTTTCCCTTGTTGGAGATGGTTATAATCAAGTGCTTTTATTAAATATTAAATACTGAATATGATATTAATTATTATAAGATTCATCGATAAATATTGGATGAATTTTAATAATAAAAGGAAAAAGTCAAAAATCTTCACATTCATTTTCTTAAATTTTCAATGTTATTATTTTATGACAATAAAAAATATGACATCATTAAGTTTGCCGAATTTGGTGGATAGTAGGAAAAATTTCGCCGAGCACGTCCATAATGTGTCCATGGTTTAATTAATTGGATGCAAATGTTATGTACGCGGCACACAAAAAGAAAAAAAAAACACTTCCACCTACTCGTAATTATCGAAATTCCCCCGAGTTTGTCTCCGTCTTACATCGATCCCGGCAGTTTTTGTAATTTGGCCTAAGTTCAGGGGTTGTTTTGTAATTTACCCTAAATTCAATACTAATATGCTGTAGGAATAGATCTCAATGGACTGCCTTTTATAAATGTGATGTATGGTCACCTGTAAAGGCCCAAACGCTGTATAGTAACTATTTCAATTATCTAGCCCATCCAATTTATTTTATTTATCTAATCCATTTGATATTTAATTTCACATCTAAATTTAGGAATAAACTCTAATAAGAAGAAAGTAAAATTCAATTAAACATATATATATATATATATATATGCTTTACTTTACTCTATTTTTATTAAAATCTCTAAATTTAATATTTACTCTTATTTATTAATATTTTCAATATCCATAAAATATGGCGAGTACGTTCTTAAAAGGAAGAAAAAAATGTTGAGTTTGTTATAGACTTGTGACTTACACGATTATTATATTGTTTTTCTTTTTGAATTATTTATAGGTAATTAAGAATTGTTATTCGGACACGAAACATCGTGCAAGAAAAGTTGATTTTGATACAATTGAATTTATCGAACAAGTTAAAATTAATTTGGAGCATATATATATTGATGAAGCATCACAAGTCCCTTTCGTACCTCTCCCTTCTAAAGTACAAAATAAAAGAGTTAGACAAAGTTAAGTTGGAGAACCAGCTATCATTCTTTTTCTACTATGGGAAAATATAAATTCAATAGATTCATATATATATATATATATATATATATATATATATATATATGTGCATTTTGCTAAACACTTTCGGACACATTAGAAAGTTTAGACATAAGTAGTCATTATAGACTGAAAATTCTTTATTATCTCCGAAGTCCGAACACATCCACAAAAACAAATTACATTTCTTTTAGTCTTCCATCTCTCCCTACCAGTCCTCGGCCGTTGACCGCCTAAATTCCGCCAAACATCATTGGGATATTAAAAAACAAATTATCTAAAATGTCTATTTTCAGTTCGAATTATTCAACTAGGGTTTCCATTTTCAGTTTAAACTCCTCAAACTTAGATGTTTAAACTGTCTACTTTCAATTTAAGTTGTCCCACTATACTGTCCTAAGGGACTTTTAGCAAATTCGAAATATTCGAACGAACCGTAAGCTATGCAAAATATTTTTGAGAGAATTTTAGCCATTACCCTCTAAATATATAATCATAAAATATGTATAGATCTCCTTCTAATTCAATTTGTCACTA